ACAGCCATCGCTTTGACCGCTTTGACTAGCAGACGTAAAGCAGACGACGTTAACTGCGCCAACCCGCCGACGCCGTTAAAGAGTGAGGGGTCTCGCCGCACACGAATGGAGGGAAAAAGTATTTGGGAGAAAACTTGCCTCGGTTCTAAGCAAAAAAAACCTCGGCGCCCCGGGACACCTCGCCAGGGAGTCCTTTGACTTCCCTCCTTGATGCGCGTCTGCTAGTTGTTAGACAAAAACAACGTACCGCTCGAGTTATTTCGTCTGCCCTCCCTTAAAGGCGAAGTCGAGTTCGCTCCGAAAGTCGCAGGAAAGGTAAGACAGACGCAGACGACGTTGCGAGCAGACGACGTTGCAAAGGAGCAGACGACGCTGAGATAGGGGGTCGCGATCAGCCAATCAGAGTTCGGCGTTCTGACGTCACCGCTACTTCCTTTCTTATGCGCAGAAGACGAAAATGAGCCCACTTGCGAGGCGTATAAGATTGTCGAACACTTCTTGAGAAACGTGAGTTTGATGCATACGGTCGATCTTCCTCTGCTTCCTCAAGGGTGTGTTGGGAAACTGGGTTGTAGCTTCGGTCTTTCGTTTCTCTGAAATTACCGCGAACCCTGTCAGCTTCTGCGAATATAGGGACTGGCGGAAAAGAAAACAATTAGGACTGGTGCGAAGCACCGCTGTTAATTTCTAGTTATCAGTCGTGTGGAACAACGAAAGATTAACTAAACTGCATCACGAATTAGTATTGAAAAAACTGTCTAAATTAACCGCAAACATATCTCACATAGGCGTGTTTATATATAACTTCTATGATTAATTTATTTTTCTTCTGAATTATACAAGTAACTAAACTAAGCCGGTTTCGAAGGCTTTTTTCGCTAGGTTACATTAATGAGCATCGTGAGATGTAGCTGAAAAACTGCGACTAACAAAACAATCTCGAAAGGAAGGTGCGTTCTTTTGGCTAAGAAGGCTTAACGACGACATTTTAACGAAAAAAGGTAGGTGACATTGAAGAATAACTCTTAATGTGCTTTTTCAAATTAGAGTTCGACGTCCTGGATGTGCTCAGCAGTTTGAGTTTCGGCATACAGAGCAGACATTTAAACAGCAAATTGTCTGACTTCGTTTCGGTCAGTTCAAACATAGCACTTAAAGGGCTACTCCACCGATTTTTTCATTGTCTCCGATTTGCTTGAAATTTTGCTAAACTAACACACAAACATCGCAAAAATAGTATCCCAAATATTAGGTCAAAATATTGTTTTTTCGCGAAGTTATTGAATTTACAGTTTTGGTCCTCACCGTGTTTTTCAAGCTCGAAGTCTCTACTGGCAACAATGAAAAAGTGACGTCAGTGGAAGGCAGGGGTTCACTCTTTGGGCTGTAGATTTTGTTTTAAACTGATTCGAGGCAGTTTCATGGTGTCAAATGAATGCTTGGGAAACTCGCTGCAGTACCCGCGCTCCAGCACGGAACAAATGATTGGCATATTCTATTTTTTGGCTGCTTGCTCGACTGGCAAGCCTGCCTGCCACTGACGTCACGGCCCTGAAAAGCGCGCGTATATTTGAATGTTGGTTTTTGCATCATTTTCATTTGCCCATTTTGCAATAACTATTATGAATTTCGCGATTCTAAATAGCATACCGGAGAGAGTAAAGGCCGGGGAGTCAGAAAATATAGTTAGTTGAGGTAGCTCAAAAACCGGTGGAGTACCCCTTTAAAGGCCGGATACCAAACCCGATATTCTGCAAGGCTTTTCTCCTCTCACGTCTTTGAGCAAGGGGCGAGGGAAGCGAAGGATAGAAAGAGGGGACAAAAAAAAAAAAGTCGTGCCTGAGTTTGCGCGCGCCGTCCGGACTTGGGGGTGGGGGTGGGGGGGGGGGGGGGGGCTTATAGTGGGAGCTCGTGAATGGAGATAAGCCAGCAAAAAAAAAAGGGTGCCCCCTCAAAGGACGCGTCACACTCTGCGCCGGACGATTAGCGAGGAAACGCTCTATACTCCGTTCCACCTTCAGTCCGAGCGCAGTGGACACCACTATACTCCGTTTCAAACATCGCGTGCAACGCTGGGAAAGCTACTGAAGTAGTGCGCATGAAAAAACACACAAAATTGTGTTACTCCGCGAGATTTCGTGGACGAGCGGTACAAGGCGCTGCTCTGGCGATGCCGGCGATGCCGACATCTCGGTGGCGGTGGTTCGAATCCACTTAGGGCGCAAAGGTTTTTTTGTTTTTTTTCCTCGACCGATTTTTTGTGCAAGATTGTGCGTATTGCGGAAGTGCATATTTCAATTCCTCTTTTCTTGTTGATTTTTATTTATAAGAAGGTAGACTAGGGGCTGGTGTTCCGCTCGAACTTGCGCCGGCCTCGTCAAAACGGAAGAACGGTCGAGATCCAGGGCGTCTCTATTTAAAGCCGTTTATTTACATGGTAGCGTAAAAATCAGAGAGTACCTTGAGAGTGTGGTGGACGGTCCTTTATATAACGAATATTGTGATTAGGGGACCGCACTGCCATTCTTCAGACGGCTTGGCATTCCCTCACGTGATGTGACTTCATGGAAGTTTCCTTCAGAGTCAGAATACTCGCCGGTGTATGGAAGAAGTCATCCAGACGGCAGTATCTCGGTGCTCTGGTGCCGGCGCCCCCATGAACCGGGAGTGATTCACAATAGACGCGTACACAACACACGGCACTCGAGATCAGGATCGAGTGTTGTTTCCTTTTCGAGGAAAGCAGGGGCCTCGGAATACAGGCACGGGCATGTGCGTCGTTTACTTAGCCGACCAAGGTTAAGGTGCCTCAGGCAGACGGAGCCGACCATGGTTACGGTCCCGCAGGCAGAAGAACCCAGACACTTCGGAATGCAATCACGGGCACCGCCTGCTGTAAGGTCCCGCAAGCAGACGGAGCCGTAGGCACGATTCATCACCGACACAGTTCCTTCTTGAGGCTTGTTTCACTTTGAAGCCATAAGGCCGATTTCAACACCAGAAATAACAGGTGGCAGTTCACAACACTGTCCGCGTGCTCGGAACTTTCACGTTGCGAGGTCTTCGCTTCGGGGACGCCACCTTGCCAGACACTCCGGTGTCGTTACTGACAGTCTCCAGGACCTCACGGACCGACGTCTCCGGGAAACACGTTCTTGAACTCGCGTACACGTTGGCGATCACCTGCTTGCACTTTTGCGAGATCTTTACACAACGAATCTTCGAAAATATCCGAGCAGGAAAAGAAAGCTTCCCGCGTAAGACGCCATCTTCACGAAACCGGCGAGGCAGGGGCAGTCGCACAACCCGAAAACCCGAAGCGAGTGCGAGTGCCGCACGAACGAAAACGGAAAATAATTTGGAGTAGTTTACATTATCTTTTCCTTTTTATTGAAAAAGAATCGGTGTTCCCTCGAAATCATAACGCCACTATTAGTTACTAGCTCCAAAGATGTACACTTTTCGACTTTTTTTTTTTTTTCAGGGGCCGCACTATTTTGTGGAGCGAACGTAGTCGCGGTCGGCTGTGCAAACCGGCGCGCTAGCTTTGACTACATTGTACGCTATGTTTGAAACGGAGTATAGCTATCCCAGCCGATCCAGCGCCGGGAGAGAATCGCGTGACCTGCCGGTTGGGCAGGGTGACACAGGGAGCTCAAGGTCACACGAAACTCTCTCAACGCTGGATTGGCTGGGACGGCTCCTAGCGTCCGCTGCGCCCGGACTGAAGGTGAAACGGAGTATAGGACCAGGAAACGAGAACTGCGTTTGTTTCTCGCACTGCACGACGTCTTCGCCTGGAGAATCCACTCTACCATCGACAATCTCCTGGGAAAGTGAGTGGCAAAACATATTTTTCCTGTTGCGAGCTAGATATATATATATATATATATATATCAAATTGATGGCGTTTGAAAATTCTAAAACCAGCGGGGAGCGCGCCTCCTAAACGCGCAAAAAATAGAAAACTACGAAAAAAAAACAGGCTACATTGTGTTATTTTGTATACATCAATATCTGTTTTCATTTTGAAAAACGAGCATTTGTTCCGCGGGAACGGCTGTTACATGTTCTCAGTCTTCGCCTATAAAATACGAACTACCGTATGAATTCTCATGAACACTGTATCTTTCTTTCCTTTGTAGGACGAACAACATCAGGAGATCATCAACACGATTGCATCGTTTGTGCAATGTGTAGTGATTGCTTTTGCAATCCTTGTATTGTACGTCATGGCCACGTAAAGATCGGCGCCGGCCAGAATGCATCACCGAAGAATCGGGGGCTACGGAAAATGTACTACAAAATGTTCTGGGCATGTCTTGCCAATCTTGGAGTATGGCGGGACCCCAGATATTTATCAAGAAAGAGGAATGCTGGGCATGGTGTCTACACAAAACGCGAATTGATGCCGGCATGCGTTGTTGATCACGTCCGGGCATTGTACCCAAACCCTGTTGGTGTGTCCTACATGGGACACACTTGGGAATAAACACCGAGCTGTCGGCTCTTCATGTATGTTGTTATTTGTTTTTTTATAAAGACATTCTCGAAAACCATTATCTCCTGCACATACTGCATCAAGCCATTTGGATAAATGCAGACCCGTGAGCTTACCTGTACTGCCAACCGCGTGGCAGAAAACAACTATCACCTGGAATGGCGGGAAAACATATATTCGTACATGAGGTAACTAAATTTAATTTATTTTCATCAAGGACATCCTTACTGATGTATTACATTAACGAGGGTTTACAAAATGTAAATTCAAAGCAACTTATAACACAGGAAAAAAAGTCACACTGACTAATTCAAAATAGGCATAAACAAACATTTGGCCGCAAGCATGGACAAATAGCAATATCATTGACAATTCCAAAGCAGCTCTTCACATTTTATTTTGAAGAATTCCGCGTCCTGTTCAGTTACCAGTCTGGGAATGGCGATGAGGTTAGCTTGGCGCGCCATTATTCAAATTTACATTATTTGGACATGGTTGTGTGAGACACTTGTCACCATATCTTCGATCTTTCAGCCTTCCGAGGGGCATGGCAGGAGCTTTGGGGCTGAAAGAATAAAAATAAACGCATGAAATTATGCACACGTGCGCGACGTTAGCAGTAACTTGTAAAATTTCAATATGTAGCTAAAATAGAAGTACATTTTATAATAAATTTTTAAAATGTGGCACGACCTCTATTTTCGAGGACGTTTTCGGGGACGTAATTGCGTCCACAATATTATGAGCTGCTAGACGGGGATGCGGTGTAATGACAACCGCATGCCATTTCAGCCCTAAGATTTAGGTTGTCGAATACTAAGAAACAACTGCCGGCGACCGTACCTGGAATTCACGAATCGTCTTCGGAGATGGACTGGTTAGTCACTTGGCTCGTCTCGTTCACGGCTGCAGTATCCAGCACCAGACGCCGGATATCTTGAACGAAACTAATTTAACAATAAACAGATATTAAGAAAGTGTATATCCAGACATAGCATAACTTTCATCGATTCGTTACATTTTTTAAGTGAGTTGTTAATGATTTTGTATTAATGTATTTTGCGTGCAAAAACAGTATAGTTTTGCACGCGCGTTGTTCGCATTTTGCTTATTTTTTCCAGTCAGCGAGCGCGTGCGCGACGTGTGTGGGAGTGCCATTCACTCCCAGCATTTTTTTTTTTTGGCACTTTAGTTACAATGTCAATGATACATTTTGGGCTTGCGTTATTATACAGTGACGCACGTGTTATGAAGAATTGGCCCTTTGAAAAATTATGAAAGCACCAGGAGCAATCCAGGACGTAGGGCACTCACACTGCGTCACGTATGGGCGTCTGCAGCAGTACATCTTCGGATCTAAACACAAAATATCTTCGTGGTTTTAATCAGTATTTACTCCAGATCTTTCATAAAGGAAAGGCCAGCCTACTCCTTGGTGCTTGGGAATTACGAAAATGGTCTATTGTCACCCACAAGTCTCAGGCATGGTAACAACGGTTGATTTAAATAAGGTGGCAGTAAGAGAATGATTCAATTACCTGTACGTCTTCTTAGTGTAATTCTTCTTCCCGCCTTGCCGATCGGGGTGACGGGAGTCTTCGATGAAGTAAGTTGACGTGTGGTGCCGACCGACATGCTCGTTCCAGTCCAGCACTGCAAGACGTTGCCTGAGGTTGTACGTGTCATCCAGATAGTGCACCCTCTTGTCCAAATAAATCAGCATGCTGTTGTTGAATGACTCAACATGGTAGGTGTCCTTCGCTTCGACATAGTCTTCAGCATTTCTGAATATCGTAGTCGATCTCACGAAAGAGAATAACAGCTCCTCCGCAAACGGATCTTGAATTAGCAGCGTGGTGGGTACATACCCTTTCACCTTGCAGGGGGAGTCCTCATCGCACTGTTCGTGTCGTCCACAAAAATGATGGACGCAGTTCATCAACGTGTTCCGCAACTTGGTAGCGCTGCCATCGCAGGTTGCCATTGCGAAGTAGGCGTGGTTGCGTACCAGCTTGCATTTGTCCGATAGCTCGGCATGCCACGTCTTCCCTTCATTTTTTTTCGTGCCGAACGCTATCATTTTCATTCCTTTTAGGGTTGCCTTGGCGGCGTGCCATCTATCATTCGAGTTGGTTGTCCCGTTTTTTTCTCTTATAATTTTGTTGACGGTGGTGTTACGGTCGTGAGCATGGTCCCCAACGGATATGTTCCTGTTGGAGAAATATTCGTACAGCCGTTTTGTGCCAACCGCTTCGTGTTTCTGGGACGACGGCTCTTCTTTTTTTGTGATGTGGACGATTCCTACCACTTTGTGACTTTTTTGTCCTAAAGCAACAACGTCGGTGTGGTAGGAATTTTTTCTGCAGGCGTGCCTGGCGTCTGTTTCAATGTTCATGGACGTCACTGATTCATCCCGCTGTTCTGTTGACCGAGCTTCAGCTTGCTGAGCTTCTGCCACTGAGCTCATCTTCAGGATGGCCACTGCTGCTCCAATCTGCGGGTTCAGCTTTTCTAGTGAGCGACGTGAATAAGGGAGCCCACTGAAGTTGCAAAACTTCTCAAATTGCGTCTTCAGCATCCCGCTGCACTCGAATGCCACAGCAACAGAGCAGTCAACAACACGGAGAAGTCCGACTGTAGAGCTCGTATCCAAAATAAGAGAATGATTGGGACACTTGAATTGGAGACGAGCAGCAAATCCCAAACTTCTCACCTTGACAAGCTGAACGTCTTCTGGACATCTTCGTAAATGGTCTTGAACAGCGCTCATCATCTTAGAAACCGCAAGCTTGTCGCACAGTAGAAGTGATGCTTCTTCACTTGTTTCGTTCTCGACCATTGCCGCGGTCTTCCGTTGGTTCTGGTGTCCTTTTCCTTGAACCATCTCCAGTGCTCTAGTGATAATGGTTGCCAGGGGATCGCCTTTGAATGTGCACTTTGCGTTGTTCAACAGATCATTAAATTTGATCATTTCCTCTTCACAACGAAAAGTCAAATTGAGTGTGCGACGAAAGCTACTCCTCTCGCAAACGTATTCCTTTTCAGTACCGTCACTCAGGCGTTTTCTTGACACAAAAGGCGGAGACGTTGATGCTCGGTCCATATTGACGGACGCCGTTTGGAAAGACTAAGAAAATTCGCCACGCTACCACCCACGTAAATTTCAACGACAAAAAAAAAAAACGAAAACCAATAATAATAAAAAGTCACAAAAAAAAAATGTCTCCAAGAAATTCCAGTGCACAGCATGCTGCCTAAAAACCTGCACTAGTCAAGGGCATTGCAACGCACGGACTCAAGGTCGCTTGTCAATCATGTTGGGGTGGCTCTTTTGTAAACTAACCCCCTCTTTTTTTTTTTCTCGTTGGAGTCTATGGCAAAGCCGCCGCGGGCTTAGCCAACACCGGCTTAGCGGTGCAGGGCTGGAGGACAGAGGGGGTAGAGAGGGTGAAAGGAGGAAACAGGCAATGGTGGAAAGGGTAGAAGGAGGAAGAGGAGGAAACGAGGGAAAAGTGGAAAGCGCGAAGTGGTCTCCGGTCTTTAAAGGAGCTGTGCAACGATTTTAACGTTGAAAGAATTGGCATTTTCTGCTTTTGATATTGTTCACTGTGTCACAAATGGCAGAAAACACACCTCCTTTCATCGAAATGTTGCGATTCCGCCGCGTAATAGCGAGGCAAAACTTGGAATATTTCCCGACCTGCAGCCACGAGCGGCGGCCATGAGAAACAAGCGGCGTGACGTCACTTGGGTAGTTGTAAGAAAGATAGCAAGTTGTGCGAATACCTGCTCGATAAAAGGTAACTTTTTTATAAATCTTGTCGTTCCACCATACATATAAATGCGTCAAAACCCTGGTATCATCGACAAAACTTGTATTATACGGAGTTTTAGTGGCGCCATCTATCCTAGGTCCACGAAACCGCGAACAGCGGCCAGAAGCCGGAGGGGAGGGGGACAGCGCCGGACGGGCAAGCACGGGTGGTCACGCGGTCGCGAGCGGATGAGTTCTCGCTGCTCGCTGATGGCTCTAAAGAGAGAACTTTTCCGGAACTCCGCGCCTACTCAAGTGACGTCACTGTGCACGTGACCCGGAAGACGATGCACGAGTTGAGAGGCGGCAAAAACCTGGATCTTTTTCATTTTTTTAAATAAAAACTAGGGTATCCAGGCAAAATCTGTTTTCTGTAGTTCACTGCAGAAGTGTCAGGCATCAGCTTCCACAATTATTTAAGCAAAGCCCTGAAATTGTTGCATAGCTCCTTTAAGGCTCAACTCCATGGGACGAATACACAGCGAAAAATCGACGAATTTAGCCTGGCGGCTTTTGCTCTGCGCGTGGCATCAGCACAGTTGGTGCTACGTCAAGCGCCAAGCGAGCGCGCCGTCGGGCGGCGTTCGTCAGTTATTTGTCGCATAATTCGCCCCACGGAGTTTAGCCTTTAGCCCGGGCCATAATAACAAAGTTTCGGTGGTCGTTGCTATCGTGCACGAAAAGTGAGTGCGAGATGTCAGTAAAAAGGGCTTTTATAACAAACGTTCCAAGGTGGCCTTGTTGGTTAGAGGCAGAAATTGCATGACAAAGGCAAGTGTACAGTACACGAAGTGCTCACAAAAAACATACCTTATAGCCACACCGGTTTTAGTCACAGTCCGGTTTAGGCTACACAAGCAACGAAAATAGGACACCGATCGCTTACGTCTTAAGATAACCCATAATAGTGACTAAAGAAGATTATTGGTGATTATAAACGAAGTAAAGCGCGGGCCATACTTTGGTTCTTATTACATGCATACTCGTAGTATCTTTACGTGTATATATGATTGAAAAAGGTGGCGAGCGTTTATAAGCCCTTTAGCCAGACTTGTGCCCGTTACTTCAAAAAAGTAATTAATTACAGTTACAATTACTTGGCCTAAAAAGCAGTCTTGGGTCGTACCGCGTTACTAGTAACGCGTTACTTTAACTTCGTTACTTTTTTGGTAACTTGTCACTGTAACGAGTTACTTTTTAAAAATGTAACTTGTAACTGTACTTCTATTACTTTTTCTGAGGTAACGATGAAAGTAACGACGTTCCTTTTGTCGTTACTTCCCAGTTTTTTATGTATAATATATCACTGAACAAGTACAATTTAGCCACTCTTTGCGCTTTCCAAATTGTCTCTTCCGACATTTTGAGTGTCAAGTTATCTTTTGCACAAATTAACTTCTGAATACGTTCTTTCTCGCCAGTCACAACCCGAATATAGCCATTTGTAGGTTTGGTAAAAAAAAAAAAAAAGTAGTTATTTTTAGCACGCGCTTGTACTTTGTGACTAAACACTTGCATCTTAGTATCCTAAAGAACTATCTCTTCTGCGGTTGTTCTTTTTTCTGCGCAAACGCTTTTTAATCGAGTGAATCAAACGTGAAACAATACGCGCGGAGGGCACTGCGCATGCTTCGTATTTTGATTTGCGCCATTACTCCGGTCACCGGTGTAGTGTTAACAGTCGAGGAAAATTTTACTGCTGTTTGCGCGGGGTTTATTTTTAGCTTGCCGGGTACGAACTCAAATTTGTCCAGGGACTCTATGAACCGAGCGCAACCATCAACGAGCCATCAATGTGCTAGTGCTACCAAGGATATGAATGCTGATAAGAACAAAGAACTAAAATGGCCGGCGTACAGAGTGTATTTTTCTGTGGTGGAGGTGGTAACTAACAACAAGACCGCAGAAAACGGCACTATATTGCCTCAATGCCTACCCGGTAATCAAAAACCTGTTCCGGCGAAACAAAACAGCAATCCCATCCAGCGCGTTAGACGAGCGCCTGTTCAGCAAGGGCAGGGACGTGTTCGTTATCAAACAAGGGAAACTTTCAGACACTAATTTTGAGAAGCACCTGCTGCTAAGTTACAACATAAAGTAAAAAGCACACTTTTGTTTTTAATTTTATGGAAATAAACTTGGTGAAAAGTGTGGTCTAGTTTTTCCTAATTGGTTTGTGTCATAGAGAAGTAACGTCGTTACTTTTTAAAAGTAACTGTAACTGTAACGAGTTACTTTTTTGCTGCGGTAATTGTAACGGTAACTTCGCTACTTTTTTTTCTGAAAGTAACTGTAACTGTAAAGAATTACTTTTAAAAGTAACTTACCCAAGACTGCTAAAAAGTAATGGATAACCGTTAAAAATTACTCCCCGTGAAAAGTAATCGATTAATTACTTCGTTACATTACTCGATTAGTTTTGCGTTACTCCGAAGGAACACGAAAAATACACACTATATACTGCGTGTTTGAAGGTGAAAATTTTGGGCACCATCAAAATGAAAACAAAAATAAATATATTCATTACTTTCTACCCAATATCTTAGGTTAATAATTTTAGGAGAACGCATATATAAAGTTTTAAAAAGCTTGAACAGGTGCTCAAGATGCGACGAATGCACTTGGGCGGTGGAGGCACGCACACCATTCGAATTAATCCGAGTTTAGAATCGACGAGCTTCCAGATGTGGTTTTTCAATGTTTGCTGCATGCTGCCTAAATATGGGCTGGTTTACCTACTAAAACGGACTGGCTGTGAGACCAAGATGCGGTACTTGGCTCTCGGTACATCTCAAAGACTCCTCCTTGATGAAGGTTGTTATCCGGCTGAATGACCCACTTGGTCTTCTTTCTTGATCACCAAACTTATCAGAACCAAGACGTCACACGAAGTATTAATGCACAATCTCTCAGCTGAACTGACTTTCCCGCCAAGAAATTATTAAAAAGAGCCAACTTTCAGTGAACAGCACACTTCCATGTCTTTCACGCGTTTACACTACAGGCGGCTTCACAACTCCAGTGTCCAAATGAGTCACCGTTTATTCTCAAAAAACGGGCTATGTTTCCTTTCCCTAAAATGTCGGTCTAAGTTCCCGCAGGCTCGACCAGCTGTCGAGAACCCAAGCCGTTTTGTTGTGCTCCCCGACTAGCATATGGCCTGCTGTCGAAAGTTACTGTTTAAACTGACAGCTGGGTTGGCGCTAGATTTTTCTTTGTTCCAATGAACTGCCGCCATCACGTCTCGTGTTTTTGCCCTACGCATCCGCTAGTGCAAAGTCAAGTGAAAAAAGCCACATAGCTGGTTGGCCCAGTTAGTATTCAGCTTGCACAGCGCTGTCAAAGATGTGCAGGGTCGAGGTGGGTGAGCGTGGTATAAGCGGAA